TGTGCAGTCGTCTATGACTACGCACATGCACTAAAGAAAAACAATTAATGTGTCAGACCTCATAAGTAGGTTGGGTGATAGGAGTACAATAATTTATTTTAAAATCTAAGATACATGCACGTCACCCAATTAAATAACAATAAAAAACAAAGATATGTTACAGAAAATATATATTAATGAAAAAATAAGTTACATGCATTTATGCTAAATAATAGAATATTATGCTTACATTATTAGTTGATATTGTAATTTAATGGTATTGGAAAAAAACTACGTAAAGTAAATATGAAAAAGATAAACATAATATGAGTTTTAATCAAGTGTTTTGTTTAGTACGTAGTAAATTGAAACAAAAATCTCACTTTTTGTGTGGCCGAGCATATTTTACTACAAGAAAATAAATATTTTGCTGCAGTTAAAATTACATTTTGCAACGGTTAAAAATGGTCACAAAATGATCCACACGGCAGTTATCAAAATGCCACAGTTAGAAGTGTCGAGAGCTATTCCATGACGGTTACGTCTAATTGCCGAAATAACCGCCGCATATGTGTTTAGAGGCGGTTACAACTAACGTCATATGAGAGGAACAGGCCAACCAATTTTGAAGATGATCTAACTGTTCAATTGAGAGAGATGACCCTCACAAAACTACTGCTCGAAACAGTATTTGTTCTAACAAACCTCGCCGAACAAATATAAACCGCCGCGAAATACTATGATCTACGGCAGTTATATTTAACCGTCGTGTAATGCATAAAGCAATCATACTTCCTTCACCTACCTGGGAACTTAATTTAGCGGCTCTTTCCAAAAGACGCGAATGCAAATAAAAAACATCTCTCGGATAAGCTTCACGACACGGCAGTCTTCGTAATAGAAGAGACATTTGGCGATAAGCCTGTGCTACCATATATGTCTTTTTCATTCCATCGAAGATCGTAGAGAAGTGAAGTTCAGGATTTCAATGAAAAATTATTTATTTTTTATGAATTACATAAAAGAAATATACGCATTAAATTCTTCTAAAAGAAAAATAAAACTATTAAAATTTTACTTATTTGCATTTTTATTCATTCACTGTAGAAAACAGAAGAAGAAGAGTTTGATTTAAATAAAGAAACATAATACTTGTGTTGTATTTTAATAAAGAGATTATATAAGTTTATTACTACCCATACTTATTATCATTATATTAAAATATGTAATAATATTTAATATATACGATTTATTTTTAAATGAACAAAAGAATACAACCTATAAAATAAAAAGATAATTCTAGAATAAAATAAAAAATAATTAAGTAATGCATAACAAAATACTATCAATTAAAATTATTGTTGTATTATTTTATTACATATTATTTTGGTCAAAAACAACTCAACAAGGGGCGGCCAAATTTTTGAACCAAGTGCACAGGATAATGTTTTTAACATACATATATGCAATATTATTATTCGGTTGCAAGAAATTATTTCCATACTCGAATATATATACATCTAAAATCTCGGTATAAAAATGATCTGCCCTTATAATAATGTATATATATTTGAGTATGGGAATAATATCTTTATAATATAAACGAGGGCGGCATATATTATACCTATATAAACGATGCAAAAATTGAAGAAAGTACACAACAAAAGAAGTGAATAGCAAACTAAAACAAAGAGAGTAAAAAAATGAGTTCCAATTCCAAAGAGAATGAGCTTCCCAGAGAGATAGCAAAGGTTGATGATGCTTACCTTTCTGCTTTGTTACTATGTTTTAGTAGGATCTTTCCTGCAATCCTAAATGCTGCTATTGATCTCAACTTGTTTGACATCATAGCTAAGAAACAGAGTTCATGTGGTTCAAGCTTGTCTGCTTCTGAGATTGCTTCTCTGCTTCCAAATTATGAACACCCAGAATTGGCTAACAGGCTTGAACGCATGTTAACTGTGCTAGCTAGTTATTCTCTTCTGAATTGCTCCATTCGCACCAATGAAGATGGTAACAGAGAAAGAGTTTATGCTCTTTCACCCATTGGTGAATACTTTGCTTCTGATAACGATGGAGGCTCTTTGGGTCCACTCTCAACTTTAGTGCATCGAGCATATCATGACATTTGGTAAATAAGCATTTATTAGTACTTAATCACTATTAATTACATGTGAAAAATCTCAATCTTTTACTTATTGGTTCATGATATATCATTCTCATTCTCTTTTTTTATCAACATTGTCATTAAAATTGTGACCCTTAATTTATTAATAATAATTAGTTAAGATTTCTCACGTGACATGATCGTATTCAATGTAACAAATCATAGATTTTTAATATGATTTTGTGTTGTTTCTTACCAGGAAGGACGTGAAGGATGCAATTGTGGATCCTAATAACAATAACCATTTCGAAAAAGTTTATGGAATGCCCTCTTATCAATATATGAAGACGGATAAAGAGCTGAATCACATTTTTAATAAAGCAATGGCCCATTCTGGTCCGTTAGAAATGAAAAGGATCCTTGAACTATATAAAGGATTTGAGGGAATATCAACACTTGTTGATGTAGGAGGTGGAGAAGGGCAGGCCTTAAAACAAATTATATCCAAGTATCCTTCAATAAAAGGAATTAATTATGATTTGCCTCAAGTGGTTCAAGATGCACCACCTCTTCCAGGTGACATATATCAGTCTCTCTTTCTCTACTATTTTACAACCTAAAATATTTTAAAAGATGGAATAAGTTCATTTTGCCAAAATTATTAATTAGAAAATACTCGTTTTGCATGAAGGCATAGAGCATGTTGGAGGAGATATGTTCGAAAGTGTTCCCAAAGGTGATGCCATCTTGCTAAAGGTTAGTTAACTACACGACAGTTACATATTTAAACAAGAAAGGAGAGAATTATATTTACAAACTTTTTATTTACAAATTACACTATGTACTTTCGGAAGTACACTAGGTTACATTATGTACTTTTGGAATGTATATAATGTAATTTGCAAAAATTTATAAAAAAAAAGTTTGTAAACGGACCATTATCCTTTAAACAATAGAAAACATGTTTCTCCTATGCAAGAGGAGATAAAGATATCTTCTATAATCCTAAAATGAGGTCGTTTTTGGATTTAGGAAAAAACATACAGGGTATTCTCCACAAAAAAAAGATATAGGGTATTTTAAAAAAAAATTCCTCTTATATCATGAATTTATTAAAATACCTATAATGATTTTTCCAAATCTCAAAACAATGTCATTTTGGGATTACAGATGATAACTTTATTTCATATTGCACGAGAAATGTTAATCCCTTAAACAATTTAATATCATAAAATGAAAATGTTCTAATCACATTTTTCTTTTGTCTTTTTATCTTTGGTCATTTTAGCTTGTATGTCATAATTGGTCAGATGAAGAATGTGTGAAGTTTTTAAGAAATTGTCACAAAGCTTTGCTAGAGCATGGAAAGGTGATTGTTTTGGACTATATAATTCCAGAAGTCCCGGATTCAAGCAGAATATCTAAGCATACTTGTGCTATTGACAATCTCATGTTTATAGCAACTGGTGGAAAGGAAAGAACTGAGAAAGAATTTGAGAGTATATGTAGGAATTCTGGATTTTCCAGATTTCATGTTGCTTGCACTGATGTCTCAGCTATGTCAGGAGTGATGGAATTTTATAAATAAATATTATTGAAGTAACTTAGAATCTCGATATGTTGTTAGCAGTCTTGAAAATAAGTTTCAGAGGGGGGAAATAATGGAGAAATGCATAAAGAGAAACATTGTGTAACCTTTTTTTTTGTCTTTGTACTTGTTTTTTTCCTTTCTTTTTATCAGATGTAGTGTTATAAATAAGTTGAGTTATATTATTTGCACACAAGTAATCACTTACTTAATTATTCAAACTTATTAATTGTTTATCTAACTAATTAATGAGGTAAATATAAATATAAATATATATATTGTAAAGAACCTTGGAATACACCACCCCAAAAGCTAACTCAAAGGGTGAGAGTGCCCAAGGCCTTATAAAGGCCACATTAGTTGCACATACAACCAATGTGGGACTATATATCTCAACACGCCCCCTCACACGAGAGCCCGTTGGGCTTGAAGAGTGGATAATGCACAGGCCCACCTACCTGTGCGAAGAAAGAAATTCTACCGGAAAGAAAGTGGGGGGCGGCAAGGTATGAACCCGGGACACGAGGCTCTGATACCATGTAAAGAACCTTGGGATATAAGATGTTGAGATATATAGTCCCACATTGGTTGTATGTGCAACTAATGTGGAGTTTATAAGGTATTGGACACTCTCACCCTTTGAGCTAGCTTTTGGGGTGGTGTATCCCAAGGTTCTTAACATGGTATCAGAGTCTCGCCGTCCCCCACTTTCTCTTTTGGCGTTTCTTAGCACAGGTAGGCTGGGTCTGTTGCATTGTCCACTCTTCAAGCTCAATGGGCTCTTGTGTGAGGGGCGTGTTGAGATATATACACTACAACAAAATTGCTCTTTAGCCACGACAAAAACCGTGGCAAAATAAGATACAAACCGTGGCTAAATGAGTTGTCCACTGTTTCAAAAACTGTGGCTAAAACGGGCGTTGCATTATTTTAACCACGGTCTTTTTTGCATCTAAGCACGGTTTGTATGAGTGTGGTAACATTGAGTTAGCCACGGTTTATGTTATATTAGTCACGTTATATTCGTGGCTAAACGATTTGGATCCCAATGATGAAAAGTTTTACTTTGCCACATACAAAACCGTGGCTAATTATAAGGTTTTTTTAAAAGAAATAAAAAATATTACAAATTTTCCGGATCATATAAAAAGCAAATAATAAAAATTGCATTTGATACAAGAACCAAAAATAAAATTAAGGGAGATAATCAAATAAAGTGGAGAACACAATTTAACACACTATATTTTTTTTCTATTCATATGAGTAAATCATGTTTTTTACAAATTTCTCAAAATTCATATTTTTTTCCATTTTATATAAGCTAAAGGAATTTCGTTTACCAACAAAAGGAGCTGATCAAGTTTTTCACTTACATCATTTAAGAGAAAAAATTGCCAAATAAAGCTAAAACTATAAGTTTGTGATTGTCACAAGACATCTATACAAAATATTAACTTCATTGTTCAACTAAACAAAATATGACAACACATTTTTAAATATGTCTTCCAAGAATTGTTGTGTGCATCTTATTCTTGTAAAAAGGCTTATCACCAAATCATACCTGTATAAAAAAAAAATTAAATAAGATATGCTAAAATGTCACAAAACTTTTCAATGTCAAGAAATTACTACGTTTTATTTTTTAGATAAAATATGAACAAACCTTAAAAGCATTAATTCTGTTAAGAGGAGAAGCATAAACCTTCAGTCCCACCTATTCAAAAGTAAACCATCAAACAATAAATTAGTAAGCAATAGAAAATGAATATAAATATAATTAGTTAAAACCAGAGACCCGGTCTGAGTTTTAGCCAACGAGATGACATGATGTTGCTTGCAATCCAACAGTAAATCAAAAATTAAACCAAAGTCTTTTAGCCCAATAGTTATAAACCAGAGCATTACCTCCCATTTTCAGCATACCTCCCGTTTTCGGCATGTCTCCTCCTACCTGAATCTTCATGCCATAAAACAGGTTCAAGTTTCAGATCCCCAATTGTCACAGTCTGCACAGAAAAGAAGATAATTTTATTTCCCCACCTACTTGAAGACAAAACACAAGCAGCAACATGCTACGTTAAACAGACTAAAATTCTACTGTAGAAAAAACCTTTGAAATTGAACACAAGCACACATAGTAGACAGAAGAACTTGATTCTTATCATATTTCAGTTTAGCTTATATATGACACATCCCTTAAGTTTATACCAGGCTCATCCCACCGAGTTTTCACACAATGGTAACTCATGCTAATAAACTAATATCCAACCAAGGGAAAAAGATAAACACTCGCGACAAATCAGTCTAACAGTCAAGGGGTTAATACGATATTCTAATTACTGATATCATTGGTATCATCCTTGATCGCTTATAATATTAGTGCGATCTTCAGGAGTGAGTTTGGCAATTTAATTAAAATTATTAGATAAGAATTGGATCATCTATAATCTATTTAAGTAACAGGCATTTAGATATAATACATATCAATGGTAGTATGGGTGACTCATGTGGCCTTTATAAGGTCTTGGATACTCCTACTCTTTGAATTAGACTTTGGGGTGTTGAACCTCAAGGTTCTTATCAATCTCATATAGACTGATGATCTTACTTAGGCCAAAATTGTATTGAAAAAGGAATCAAGAAACTATATATGACTTGTATCTAGAATCCAACATCTGTCAACTGTTTATTACATATAAGGATACACTGAATGGTGAATCTCAACTAAAATTTACATACAGATAGCTACAGCTACAGTGACCATTGAAATTGGCTTTCAACTTACATATTTACAAGCTTTTGTGATGGATCAACACAATTGGTAATCTAGGAATTAGATGCCAGAGCAAGCACTTGGTAGTTGGAAGATTATACAAATGCGATTAAAACAAGTTGATATTTCCAAGAAACAACAAGCAGCAAAACAAATCACGTTTGAAGCAGTAACTTACACGCACAAATCACCCAGAGACCAGTCCCCAATATATAAGAAAATACTGTACGTATTCTTGTAAGGAACTTCTAATTAATATCTGGCATAAAGTGCATAGACTGTACCTCATTTGAAGGCTGATGACTCTGGTGTCAGTTTCATCTGTGACATGTGTCCAGCTCCTGGCATTTTGAGGCCTAACAGGAAGGTTGAAGAAACATGTATTTTTGGAAAGTGGTCGAGACTGAGTCATTTCAAGCGTGTATGGGGCAGGAACAGGAACAGAAAATGAGATGGCTACCCGCAATAAGATTGGTCATGGTACCAGAACTTGGCACCAACTCCAACCATTTCTCAACATACAGTTTTGAAACTGGGTCAAGATAGTCTAGCATAGAGAATGAAACAGAACCCAGTGTCTTTGTTGATCTTCTTACTGATAACTTGGAAGAAGAATGGGACATGAGTTCAAAAACAAGCTGTCCTGTTGGTTCACACTGGAAAGATGCAACCTGTTTCTCTCCACAAAATATTTAGTCTCCTTTTAGCATCAAAGAATGCATCAGGCTGTGATTTGGAAAATAAAACACAGACACCTCCTTCTTGTCCCTCAGGTAAGTTTTTAACCCCAACAATCTCTAAGAGAACCTGGAAAAGGATAATAGAGGAAATTACAACTAAAATTATTAGAGAGAGGAAAGTTATCATATCTTAATTAAGTAACTAGTTATTGATTATAGAGGAAATTTTAATATGGACTTCACAACAACAATTGTACAGCTGTAATAGATACCACTACTTTGAGGCATTACTTGAGCTGAAGGGGTTCTCTACGTGGCTTTCAAATGACACACCCACGAGGATTCAAACCCAAATCAGAAATTGTCACACAAACTTCTGAACTATCTAAGCAACTGCAAGTTGGTCTAACTTACAGAACTCATTAATTATGAGAAGAAAATAAATGACAACATTATATATGTGGCCTAAATTTCAATAAATTAATTAAAAAATTATGTATATCTTTGCTGTATGACTACAATAATATATATACTCTGAAATAAAAAGACTAAGTAAACGAAAACAAAAATATATATAAATTGGTAGGAGCATATGTATCTCACATCATATTTACTGGCAAGGGATTGCAGAAAGTGGTGTTTCCAAATGTTGGGTTTATAATTTGCAGAAACACACCATATCAAACTAATAGAGCATTATGCAGATATTCATTTTCTCTGATTTCCTTCTTCCTTGTTTAATCCTAATAATTTTAAAGTCATGTCATTCTTTACCATTGAAACAATTGATCAAACACGTGGCACACAAACCAATATCATCCAGAATTTTCTAATACACACAAATCAATAGATCCAAAATCTCCACCAAACCATACTAGTTGCACTCAAACAAGAAGGAAAAGCAACGAAAACTACAAGACCATACCTTAACAAATGAACATGACGTCAAGCTAAAATCCAAAAATGATTCGTTTGTGCGCAGAAACTTAGAAACTCAAGGAAACAGTGAAAACAATGTTCCTGAAATACAAAAAAGAAAAAGAATAAATTAATTTTCAGCTATTGTTAAAGAAACTAGCTCAGAAACTAAAAATTAACGAAAACAAAGCAAACACTCACTTAAAATTCGTACAAATTTGAAGGAAAAATATATGGAAGAAGAAACTCAGATTCAGGGGTGAAATTCAAAATTCAAATAGAAATGGGATTACGAGCCGTAGCTTGTGGAGGAACGGAAGAAGAATCGAACAACATTTGAAGAAGAGAGAGCGAAACCTGAAGGAAAACTCACACCAATAATCGCATCTCAGAAAAAGAAAGAGCAAGAGAGAGAAAGAAAAATAGGGTTTTGTGGTGAAGAGGAAAGAAACGATTCTAAATTTTTTTATTTTTGAAAGAGCTCATGTTTTTCTTAACTTCGCTCACGTGGTTAATATATATTGGTCAATACATTAGTCATTACTAAATTGCAACGTAATTTAAGCATTACTAAATTGTCGTGGTAAAAGGCTGTTTTTGGTGCAGTGATAGTCTCACATTGGTTGTATGTGCAATTAATGTGGAGTTTATAAAGTATTGGGCACTCCCATCCTTTGAGCTAGCTTTTGGGGTGGTGTATCCCAAGGTTCTTTACACTCACACACACACATATATATATATATATATATGGGGCAGGATATTCTTACACCGGTGTAAGAGTTAGAAGTCTTACACTCAATCTTGACCATTGATCCACTTGTATCCAATAGCTCACATTACTAAAAAATTTGAGCCCTTAGATATAAGTGGGATTAACGGACAAGATTAAGAGTGTAACTTACACTGGTGTAAAATGATCCTAACCCTATATATATATATATATATATATATATATATATATAATCAAATTTTTCCAACCAAATTAAGCAATGTTGTATATCACATGATTTGATGATACCGAAGGAATAATTTTTCCTTTCTTTTTTCTTTAACGTGCTACTTAATATTAATAGTTTAATACCTTATTTTCTCTCTTATGTGTAAGCACGTCATTCCATTACATGCACACTTCCACAAGCACACGGTCTACAACACAGAAACAAACACAGTTTGACTCAAAAGCATGTGGCGGCCACAAAATTTAGTTTGTATGGTAACTAGTGTTATGAGTTTTAAATTTTGAGTTCTTAAAATTAATTTGAAGTTAATTAAAAGACGAATATTATACTTATAATCTATTTTCGTTTACAACTTTTTATAATTATATTTTAATCGTTGATTTCCGTCAATCTAACGGTTATAATTTATCGGGACATATGTATTAATTAATTATTAATTTCCAAAAAATTATAACCATCATATTAACGACGAAAATAGGTTGTAATTATATCATTTTTCTAACTAAAATTAGGATATATTATACTTACTATTATTTTTTCTTACCATCTCTTATTTTTAACTTTGTTATCATTGGATCAAAATTAAATCGACGGTTACAAACAAGAAAAAATGATAGCAATTTTAAGAGAGATGGTAATTTTTTTAGTAAATATAATCGATTTTACATATATAGAACTTACAATGTTTCTAAAAATATACCCATATTTATACTTCAAAAACGTAATTTTATTTTATTATTTAAATAGAAATAACATTTTTTTATACAGAAATAACTTTTTCAAACTCATTTTAAATAATTATTATTAAATATAAATAATTTTTTTAATATCCGTTCTTTCAAAATTTTCTAAGAAAATCTAAAATAAAGGGGTCCTTAGTCTCGCATACTTCCACACTGTGTGGTTTTTTTTTAAAAAAAAAAACAAAAGTGTTTGACCAACAAGTTGAATACTTTCTTTCATAAATTTGTAACTTTAATTACCCAATTTAAAGTGTTTTGAAAAGGTATATGGGATTTCATATTTATTCTAAGAATTTGTATTTCACAACAAGTTGGGCAATACAAATTTATGAAAATTATAAAAGCTAAAGACTTTTATTATTTTATATAAATAATATGATTTTTTCTTTTTACTTTTTGAGTATTAAAATGGTGTTAGACAAGTGGTTTCAAAATTTAAGAAAATCTGAATTGTGTTTTATAAAATCTTTTTGAAAAATGCTTCTTTTGATGTTTTTAAAAAATTATTTCTTATATTCGATTTAAGACAAGTAATACTAAGTGAAGGTATAAGTGTATGATTAAAAGAATAAGATAGTATTTACCAAAAAAGAAAGAAAGAATAAGATAGTAAACAAGCAAACACAATCTATTAAGGCAATTAAAGGCTAAAAAAAGAGCACCACAAAAAAGGCTAAAAAATAGTTAAAGATTTAGAAAGATTGCAAATAAGGATTTGTCTCGGTTAGGTTACCACCACTCGTGAACTATATCTAGATTTGTCCATTCGTACTCAAGCTCCACGGATACTTGACAAACCTTTTCAATCCACCGAGTTTTTAAATAGCTGGTAACCTTACAAATTTCCCCACAATTTTATAGGTGTTTGACTATCTCTCAAACTCAATGAATTTTATTGTCCTTAATCAACAAGAATACAATGAAGTAATGTGTTTGAAAATACTTAAGCACTCTCAAAGTACATATTTGGCAAATTAAATTAAGAATTAAGTGGGGAAATAGGCAAATGAGCTCAAAAATCAAATGATCAAGAATGAATGTAACTAATAAATATTAACAAGTTAGATACAAGAGCTAAGACTTAATAAATAGTGAAAAATGTTCTTAAACTTTTATAGTAATTATATATAGGTTTATAATAAAATACAATTGTTTATATTCATTTTGAGCCAATAATATATATATATATATATATATATATATATATATATATATATATATATATATATATATATGCCATGAAAGTGCTGAAGTTCATCAAAAAGAATATTTTCACTCGATTTGGAACCCCTAGAGCAATTATCAGCGACAGGGGTACACACTTCGTGAACAAACAATTCCAATTGCTCCTGAAGAAATATGGAGTGCAGCATAAAATTGCCACCCCTTACCACCCACAGACCAACGGGCAGGTAGAGGTGTCCAACAGGGAGATAAAAAAAATCTCGGAAAGGGTCGTAAACCCAGATATAAAAGATTGGTCCAACAAATTGGATGATTCCCTATGGGCGTATCGAACAGCTTATTGAACGCCCATTGGCTGCTCCCCCTATAAGTTGGTGTTTGGAAAAGCGTGTCACTTGCCTCTGGAACTTCAACACAAAGCATTCTGGGCCATCACATTTCTAAACATGGATTCCAGAATGGCTGGGGAAAAGAGGTTGCTCCAGTTGGTTGAACTGGAAGAATTCCGGAGCAAGGCATATGAAAACGCCAACCTCTACAAGGAGCAGATGAAAAAGTGGCACGATAAAAAGCTTATCAAGAGAGAGTTAGAAGTTGGAGACAAAGTGTTGCTGTATCGATCCAGATTGAAACTGTTTCCTGGAAAGTTGAAATCAAGATGGGAGGGACCTTATGCAATCACTGAAGCACTTCCCAATGGAACATTTGCCATTGCTCATGAAACATCTGGAGCAACGCTCAGGGTAAATGGACACAGACTCAAGAAGTATAATAGAGGGATCAAGGAGCATGAGAAACTAACTTCTCATCTCGATGACCCAGCTGAAGTCTGACTCAAGGAGCAACAAGTCGAGCTAAGACTATAAACGAAGCGCTACTGGAAGACAACCCAGATTTATTTCCACGTCGTTCTTTTTATTATTGTCTTTGTTTGAGAAAATTAATGTGCTAACCATTGTAGGAAGCTAGTTTTGGGGTTGCTCTTGAGCAACCTGATCCCAAAAGCAAGGAGCAACCAACACTTAGAATTTGATCCCTCAATGTGAAACTAAGTTCTAATTGGGCTGATCCACTTGCCCCTTTTAACCCAAGGGCCTGCAATGGGCCGCATGCGAAAAAGAGAGAGAAACCGAGTGGCGGAAGCAACGGAAGGATAATAGCTCCACGTCGTGCTGTCACATCCCTCCAATCAAGCGAGAGTAGCAGTTTCAAAAAGAAGAAACCGTCAGAGTAGAGGACAGTTGCTTTCCCCCAGGCATTTATGTGCAGCAGACGCTCTTCCACCCCATATCCGCCACTCAGCAAAGCCACGATCACCACCATACAGAGCGTTTTAACCTTCCCATCCTCTCCTTCGTTCCTTTATAAACACAGAACTACTATTTCATTCTCATAATCTTTTCTCCTTCAACCCACAAAAATCCAACCTTTACTCCCCACTCCATCCCTCCTACTCAGAACATTACACCATGACACGTCCAAAGGCCATTATACATGTTGCTTCTATCTCCAAGAAGAGGACCCGAACAGGGAAAAAGCTCAAACCTGAGCAAACCACAGTCGACCGTACAGTCATACCAGAACGGGGCATAGTCCTTAGTAGCTCCAAACACGGAGATCTCGACCGATGGCTGACCGAGGATATAGCAGAACTGGATTGGGAACTATTCATTGAGCCTCCCTCAAGAGCTCGCACTGAGTTCGTGACTGCATTCTTGGAGGGAATGAAGAAAGAAGATCTTCCAAAACTCCTCATCAGAGGCGTAAAAGTAGACTTCTCCCCTGAAGAAATCAACGAAGCATACAACACTGCTTCAGTTCCTGCTGAACACGATGAGTTCGATAGATACTGTGCTGGCCGAGCAGATGAGGCCATAACTGGAGAAGTGCTCCAAGAAATAGGCTCAGAGGGAGCAACCTGGGGAACTAAGGAATCCATCCCTAGGAAGCAACTCAAATTCGAAGCAAAGGTATGGATGCATTTTATTAACTCCCGTCTGATTCCCGTGAGCAACGACTCTAGAGTGAACTGGGAAAGAGCAGTGCTGGTCTTCTCAATCTTGACTAAGAAGAAGTTTGATGTTGGGAGGATTGTTTACAAATAACTGGTGGCAAATGCACCAAAAAACTCCCCTTTCTTTTTCCCTTGTCTGGTCACTAAAATGTGCAAGAGGGCTGGTCTAAAGGCCAACATCCCGATTTCGGATGAAATCATTCCAGAAGGGTCGAACATTGATCAGTCCACGATAAAAAGAATCAGAGAAAATAAAGGATTGGAAAGTGAGGAGGAAGAAGAAAAAGAAGAGAGAGAAGAAAAAGAAGGAAAGGAGGAAGAAGAGGAAGCTGAAGTTTCGGGGAATGTGAAGGAAGAACCTTAGAAAACACCAAGAAGGGAAAAACTCCCCTTTAAGAGAGCTCCTGCAAGGGGTGGACGAAGGCAGTTCCTAGTCGAGACAACTGACATGACTCAATGTCAAACTATGTTTGGTCTCGGAGCAGACCTTCTAGCCACTCAAGTTCAAGCCTTAGAAGACACAGTTGGAAGGGAGCTGCAATCTCTGAAAGAAGCCAGCTTGCTCATCAACAAAGAAAAGGTGGCCCTGCAGAATGAACTTGACCAGATAAAAAATGCTGGACCACTGCCGCAGAAAAAAAAGATTGAGGAAGAAGAGGGATCCTCAACCTTGCAAAACACGGTAAAAGACCTGGTGAAAGCAGTAGAGATGATGAACAAGAAAATGGAAGAAAGGGAGCAAGCCCACGAAAAAAGCAGGAAAGACTGGAAGGAGGAGATCGGGCTCTTGAAAGATGAATTGATGAAAAGCAAAGAGGAGGAAATTCAACTCCGATTGTACTACCGAGCTCGGGACCAAATCTTCGCCAGTAACTGGGGAGAAAAATTCAAGGGACAAACTCCATATCCACCATTTCCAAATGTCTTCCCTCCAGAAGCAATAACAATTGCTCCGTTTAGCGGAGCAAGACAAGAAACTGGAGAGCATTAAGGGTCGCTATGGTGACCCCAGGTTCATTTGTTCCCTATCCTTTTTAACTTGTTTAAATCTGTTGGAATGAATGCCTGAAAGTTTTGTGGTGGAATGTTACTGACTTTGCTCTTAGATAAATGACTTCTGTGGTGTACCAGGGATTCGCCACCCTATTTTATTTTATTTTTTTAAAATAGTTTTTAATTTTTGCTAAGTTTACCGTCCTAAGTGTCCTGATCTACTCAATGATTCTTTTTGCCCAGGATTCTGCTCCTTGAGATGCCCTAAAGAGTTTACAGTTTCTAACAAAGCAACATAGGGCATCACTCTGATTTGGAGCAACACCATGCACAAAAAGCAGCACTCCAAAAATCGGACACTCTGTTATTCAGTGGACTTATTGAGTTACCAAGGAAAGAACTTCAGGCTGTTTAAGTAAATTACTCTGCTCCTGTTTAAAAAAAAAAAAAAAAAAAAAAGGTCAGCTCCTCTGCTCCAAAAATTTCGCTCAAAGAGCTCAAGTCATCAAGGTGAGAGCAAGAGCCGCTCAAAGAGCATACTGTTGAAGGTCAACCCTATGCAAAGACAAGGGTAATTGACTTCCAGTTAAAAGACCTGAAAAGAAAGAAATAGAGAAGGGAGCTAGAAAGTAAGAGAAGAAATCAAGCCAAAAAGTTCAATCCGGAAGCAACTCAGTGGGAAACTGACTAAAAGAGTGGAAGAGTTCACACACACAATGAAGCTGGTGAAACTCACAAGTCAGATGAGTGCTCTAATGAAGCAATGGAAGGAGTTAAGTTAACTCTTCATCGATAATCTCAAGGAGCATTAGCCTGTCACAAGAAGACTGTTGGTTGTGAAGGATTACTCGGGACGAGTAATATCTAGTTTTGGGGTGTTGATAGTCCTCAAGAGTTGAGGCCCATTAAGTGTAAATTGTTCCACAAAACCCGTGTTTTGGTTATAAATCACTCTCGTCAACCTTCTTCTTTTCATATAGAGCAACTATTTGAATAAGTGGACCAGAGCAATGCCGAAAGTGGGAATTAAGGTAGACTGGAGCAAATTTAACATTATCTTTTTCACATATGACTATTGGGTTAGTTTGCTTTGTTCAGGACACCTAAGGCCCATCAAAAGGAACCACAAAATGAAGAGAGAAGAATGAGTGTTGCGCAGAAAGAAAAAAGAAGTCTGCTATAGTACAACAGCAGTCAAAGGAAGCAATGGGGAGCCGCCACGTCAGCTACAGCAGAGAAGGTGGAGGTGCTGCCTCTGCTACAGTACGAAAGCAAAGAAGCTGAGCAATGGGGAGCCGCCACGTCAGCTACAGCAGAAGGAGTGGAGGTGTCTCCCTGAATCTGATACTCCTACTCACAAAGGGAGCCAAAAGTAAGGGGGACCACTTCCATTTAAGGCCAAGCTGGCAAGAAGCAAAGCTACCATTGGAGAGGATTTAGACAAAGCACGACCCTTGATGAAAGGAACAATGGAGATCAAATGAAGAACCCTATAAAAGGAACAAGCAATCCTCATAAAGTGTATCATCAGCACCCATCCTAGGACTCGTTGTCTCTTTGTTTTCTTTTATTTTTTTTGTAAAATTGCTCACTAGGAGCTAACTTCCTCTAAGTAGGTGAGGGTTCCATAGAAGTAATCCCTTTTGTCTTAGGATAGCTTTGTAAGGAACACATATTTTATAAATGAATTTTGAGTTGCTCTTTGGTTTAATTTATTGATTTTGTGAAACCCTTTGGGCTGGCAACCTCATCCCGGGACCACTCGGTTGATGAAACACTGACAAAGGCGTGTGGAGCATTCTCAAAATCCTGGGGTAGTTTAGCCTGAAGAAAGGAGGGAGAAACACCTGGAATGGGGAGCACTGCCATGTGAATCCATGCTCTTTTGAGAAGGCAGCATGGTTTCCTTGCATATAACTCCAAGTACTATGGAGTAACGTGGAGAGTAAGGCCTTACCGTCTGCTTACCTATAGCAAAACATGGGAAGGAGCAAAATCCACTTGTAAAATATGCTACCAAGCAGGGTTAACCAAAGGGATGAAAACATGGAACCCGTAACACCTACTTGATCTTTTTCTTTCTGAAATTAATCTCAACTCAACTTCTATCACAACCTTTTCCTCACGATAACTGAACTGTGTTTTACCAGCTGATGCTCTTACTTTCATTTCGTTGGCTGCTCTTAAAGCTACTTCAATTGATGCCTTTTATTCGATGACCGTGCTAAGTCATTCACTGCTCTCATCTGGTTCAGAATGGTTAACATTGTTTAACTAGCTGCCCAGAGATTGCTCTTTGTGAAACTTAGCTGAGAATAGTAATTTCTTGTATTGCTCCATTTTGCAAATTAAGTTTCTTTTAGCGCTTCTTACTTCACAACTGCTCCATGAGGACGATAAATCTGGGGCTACAATCCCCTATATTGCTTGACACGTACGCTTGCGTATAGTTGAAGAGGGTTGCTCTTAGTCAGAGTAGATTGCTTCTGTTGGTAATCCTGATTACTACTCTACACTCTTGCTCTCTGAAAGAAATATTCCCGAGCAGCTCTCGGTTCGACCAAGCACCGCTGATAGACGTCCTTCTTGTTCCTTTCCTCAACCTTTTTCTCCGCAATGTAGTTAACTAGGTTTTTAAGTCGAGATACAGGCAATAGAGCTTCATTTGTAAGTACCTTGAATGTTGCTTGCTCTCCATCCACGCGTATTATTAACTCTCCCTTAGGTACATCTATTAGCGCTCCTGAGGTTGCTAAGAATGGCCTCCTAAAGATCATAGGCACACTGGCATCTTCATCAATGTCAAGAATAACAAAATCAACAGGAATTAGAAATTTTTTACCTTGACGAGCACATCTTCCACAATACCATGTTCTTGCTTTATTGAGCGGTCAGCCAGTTGAACCTTCATCCTTGTTGGCTTTACTTCATTAATTCCCAGTTTTTTCATAAGGCTGAGGGGCATCACATTTATGCTGGCACCAAGATCGCATAAGACTTTCTCTATAGTCGTCTTACCGATGGTGCATGGAATACTGAAGCTCCCTGGATCCTTCACTTTTGGAGGCATGTTTTTCTGTATGATTGCACTGCACTCCTCTGTTAGTGTCACAGGTTCATCCTCTGTGAGCTTCCGCTTATTAGATAATGTCTCCATCAGGAACTTTGCATACGAAGGCATTTTCTCCAGAGTTTCTGCAAAAGGAATGTTAATTGGCAATTTCTTAAAAATATCTAAACATTTAGACATTTGCTTCCTTTGCTCATGTTGTTTGCTACCCATGGGATATGGAGGTTTCTCAAAACGTGAGAAATCCTATTGCTTCTTTTGAACTACAAAAGGTTGCTCCTTTGCTTTTTCCTTGCCTTCTTGAGTGTGTTCATCCTTGTCTGTAGGAGCGTCCACTTTTTCCAGATCCTCACTTTTAGTAATGATGGCATTGCAGTGCTCCTTTGGGTTGATTATAGTGTCACTGGGGAATGTTCCAGGACTTCTCTCATTTGAGTTGGACTGGTTGAACTATCATTGATGCATTATCAGCTCTTGCCATGAAGTCGATCAACTCTAAAGTTTGAGTTGTTGTCTTCTTTGCTATGGTCCCACCGGATGCACCATTGACAACCATTCTGGAATCTGGTGTTATTCCATTGTAGAAGATTCTGACCTTCCTTCTGTCTGGCAGATCATATGCGGGGCACTTTCTGATTAGTTCTTGGAATCTGGTCCAAGCTGCACATAGAGTTTCTCCTGGTTGTTGAGTGAAGTTGGTGATTTTATTCACCAACTTGTTGTATTTCTCCCTGGAGAAGTGCTCAGCAAAGAATTTAGTTGCCAGTTCATCCCATGTTCTGATGCTGTTGGGGGCTTGTCTATCCAACCATCTGAGAGCTTTCCCTGTTACAGCAAAAGGGAACAGTCGCAGTCTTATTGCATCATCTGACACCCCGTTATGTTTGGTGGGGTCACAGATTCTCAGAAATTTGTTCATGAAATCATGGGGATCTTCATAATCTTCTCCGCCAAATGGGTTTTTCTCCACCAAGGATATCAATGCCGGCTGGATATCAAAATTGTTAGCGTTGATTGGTGGTTTGACGATGCTAGAATTTGGCCTCGTGAAATGTGGAGCCAAGATTGACTCCATCAATTCCTCTTCCGGTGGTGGTAGATTATTAGCTGCCATCTCGGGTTCGACTTTTGGCCATGAACTCGAGGATTCCTCTATCTTCCTTAGCTTGGTTAGCTTCTGGTTCTTCTTTGTAGTCTTCTTGATTTCTGGATCAAACTGTAAAAGTTCTTTGTGAGCTTTACCTCGTATAAAAGAGAGAAATCAATTAGTAACAAAAATAAAATAAAAACTCCAATCTCAAAGATCGAAAGTTATGACTAATATTGACGTAATTAATCCTCGGCAACGACGCCAAAAACTTGTTGCGAAATCAGCAAGTATATTATTCGTTCCAAGTAATAAAGTGATAAGTAAAGTATCGTTCCCACGATGATTAATGCACCAAGTACTAGTTTAACTAAATAAAATTTGGTTTGAATTGTAAGGATAGTTGATTTTGGAATTTAAAAACAGAATTTAAAATAAAATAATATTTAAAAACAATTAATTTCTAACGCATGCAAAAAAAGATCAAGAACGCGAGAAATTATTGATGAAAAATTTATAAAAAGGATGTAGCCAGGATGCACTTCACCTCCGATCCTCCCTTATATTCCTATATTGTATTTTATAATTAATTAATTTTTTTGCTCAGACAATTCATTATTTCCCTATAAAATAGTTGAACCCTAATGTCTTAGTGATTTCAACCATTTAATCCAATTAGAATCCTAATGTCTTAGTAATCCCTCTTGAATTAAGCATTAAGCAAATGAATTATGAGTCTGCAATTTATGTAAGCATATATCTAGATCATACACAAATTGTTATTCTACCCTTGTCTAGACTAAAACCCAATATGTCCATTGTGAATTCTAACCCTCAAATCCCTATAATTTAGAGTGATCAGTTCTAAACAAGATATGAAAAATTAAACTAGGTAGAATAAAACAAACTAACTAATTAACTTATAAAATAGCAATACATAAATTATAAAGGATTTATATTGGGTCCGTGATCCCAACTACAAAAACAAACTAGCCAGACATAGCTGGCTTAAACAAATTAAAATAATAAAAAAAATTCATGAAAACAATAAAGAAGAAGAAGAAGATGAAGGATCGATGATCTTCGGTCTTCAACTCCGTCGGAATCCTGATCTCTAGCGTGAGCCTCCAAGAATTCTCTCCAGCCAAAGATTGTTTGTCTCTGAGGTCTGGGTCTCTATTTATAGAGTTTATGCCTTTCTTAGAAATCTTGATCATATCTTCAATGGAATCTTCACTAGAATCTCTAATCATATCTTTGATTCAATCTTTCATTGTATATCTTGGGTCCAATCTTTCCAGATATAGTCTGATTCAAATCTTGTCTTTTTCTTTGCTACTCAATTGGGCCCATTTCTTGTACTTTTTCCTACAAAAATATAAGAAAATCAGTGAAAAGATATCTGATTGAGATTTATCAATTTAATAAAATTCTAGCCCTTATTATCCAACATTGACCAAGATTCTTTCTCTTTTTGGCTTAAAATCATATATTTGCTGGAGGCATATCAGTGAACAAGTACCAAAAGATATTTCCAAAGCCAAAGAATAGAGATTACTTGGAAGGCATTTATAGATGCCTTTTTGGAAAAATATTTTTCTCAAAATGTAAGAAACAGAACAGAAATATAATTTATTGAACTAAAATAAGAAAATATAACTATTGGTGAATATGTGGCAAAATTCGAAGAACGATCCAGATATTCCAATTATGTTCAAAACCAACCTAATGAAAAAAGGTTGACAACTAAGTTTGAATCTGGATTAAAACCTAAACTTAAAAGCATAATAATAGGACATCAAATAAGAAACTTTTCATCATTGATAAACAGGTGCAGAGACATTGAGACGAGCATGGTGGAAGCTGAGGAGGCAAAGGAGAAGGCCAGATAGGAAAATCGAAGGAAGAATGATGACATCGACTAAGAGAGGTTTCCACAAGCACATGAGTCAGGAATCAACTTTGCTATCAATGATGGAAGAGGAACTGAAAGGCATATAAATTCTCAAATTCAGGTATGTCCTAAGTGCAAGAAAATCATGTTGGAAAGTGCATAGCAAGAAAAAACATGTGTTTTAAGTGTGGGAAGTCAGGACACTTGATGAGGCAATGCCCTCTGTAATAACCCTAACCTGCATAATAAGAAATAGGAGTTTGCCATTATTTAACAGAAAGTAATTAGATACAAAAATCTAATTTATTTAAGAAAGAAATTAGAATTAGAAAGAAGAATATGAGAATAATTCACTTTATACTAAAAAGTGTAATTACAGTATAAAGAATATTTTATGAAGTTTGTATGAGAAATCACATGCTAGTTATTGAGTAATGGCTAGATTAGAATTTAAATAAGAAGAAATTATACTTAAGGAATTAATAGAAAGTGAGTTGACCATAATCAATAAAGCATAAATCAAAAGTTAATTAAGAAATAGGTTAAGTCATTAGTCAATCTTCATTTTCGGTCTTCTCCTCCAAACACTAGAGAAAAACCATTGTTTAGAGTCTGGGAAGCTTGAAAACCTAGCTTCTTCTATAGACCATGAAACACTTTGAGGTTGGAATGAAAAATGCATAGAATCACCTTGTGAGCATAACTTACTGATTGGTTTTTTTTTTTGGGAAGCTTTGTAGTGAGAGAGATCATCATCTAAAGTTTTTAGTGATTCCAAATTTTGGAGTTTTGAGTGTTGTTAGACTCCTTTGAGCTTGGGAAATCATCACCACTTCATTCTAGGATGATCTATGGTGAGTAAACTCAACTCTATTCATGTTTTTATCAAGAGTCGTGAATGTTGATTTTGCATGAATAGTAACCTATGACATTTTTTTAGTGATTTTGCATGTTTTTATCCTTTGGGACAACCCTTAGAAGTATATCATCCTTGGGGATTTCTTCTTGTGGGAAAGCTCTTAGTAAGGTATTTATGCATATTCTTTGAAAATGCAATGGTTGTCTATACCAGACAGAATAGACAGAAAGAATGGAATAGAAGGAACTTCCTTGGAAAGCCTTCGGGAATCCTTGGGGTACAGACACCTAAGAATTACAACCCAGACCTCTCTTGGATGTTCCAGTATCAGATATTATTATGTATGCATGCTTGTTTTAATACCGTTGATGCACTGAAATTGAATTATAGGGTAGAGTGATCCTCTAATGATCTTAGTATACTGATATTTTTTTTCATCCCATATTTTGGAGAACCACCTTTCAAGTACCTCCATTGATGAATAGGGAGCTCTCATGGCAAGAGGCCAACATAGATTTTATCACATGCTGCTGCTGTTGATTACTTTTGCTATTTATATGCTTGTAATCATATTTTGAGAAGAACATGAGAAGAATGTATTTGAGATTAGAAAGGAACTTAGGTATAATCATAATTTTTTTTATATCATTCATGGTGCATATTTGTGTAAAGGACATTGATTATATGTTTTGTAAAGTTCTAAGTTCTAAATTATATAATATGAAGAGACATTGATAATGTACCTTTATGATAATGAAATGGTATATTATTTTCCATGCAAGAGAAGGTATGCCTATGATACCTTGTTGTCATATGAGATAGTAAATGTGTATGTAAAAATGAGAAGAAGAATATGTGTTGATTATGCATGAAATTGAGTAGAAAGAGGGTAACTTGGATTGCAAGTAATACCATGGAGGATTGGTTGGGATGCAAGTAATGTGTTTAGCTTAACTTGAGGCACAAAAAATGATGTATAAATTCTTATGTGAGAAAGGATGTAAGAGAACCCGTGTTTGTTAGGCATTGGGTTGTCATTCCATGTTTATTAGGTACCAAAAAGAATCAAAGTTTAAGACTTGGTATAAATAGAACCATCATGAGATAGGGCATGCTTGTTGGCTTGCTCGCTTAAGCGAGAAGCCTAACGAGCAATTGCTTGGGAAGAAAGAAATATGTGTTCCTTTACTATCTTGAATTTGTTTTACTCGTTGGCTTGCTCGATCAAGCAAGCAGCCTAGCGAGCAAATTGAGAGCTTGGCAGTAGCTAG